ATAGAAGTCATGAGCAGAACAGTGGATGCCAGGGATTGGGAGGTGGGAGAAATGGGGATATGTTGGTCAAAGCATACTACTTATTCAAGATAAATAAGTTCTGGAGATCCAATGTACAACATAGTGACTATAGTTAATAATACTGTCTTGTGTACTCGAAATTTGCTGAAAGGGTAATCTCAAGCATTCTTGCCCCCCAACATACAATGATAACTATGTAAAGTTATGAATATATTAATTAGTTTGATTGTGGGAATTATTTCACAATGTATACATAAGCATCACATTGACCATTATGTTTACAACTTTTGTCAATTTACCTCTATAAAACAGGAAAAATAACAACATAAAGTGAAAAAAGATTATTAGTTTTAATTGTATTGACAGTAAGATTACAAGAGTAGTAATAGTAGTAGAGGTAGCAGTAGTAGTAAAAAGTAATGATAGTTTACATTTTTTGAATGCTTTCTTTATGCCACTCAGTGTTTGAAGTTCTTTTATATAATAACTCATTGAATCCTCATTTCAAGCCAAAGAAAAAAAATCTACTGTAATTACCCAAAAAACAGAAGTAGAAAGAGGCTAGGAAATACCAGCACACAGATGATTTATCTTAAGTTCTTGTAGGAATAAGACCATTTAAAAATTATTCTTATTTATTTTTATGAAGTTCTTTGTGTGCTTATATATATATTAAACTCAATGCATTTAAAAAAATATATTCATTCATGTGTTTGAAAATTTTTTGGCTGAAAGTATTTTGATATAACTTGAAATGTGAAACACTAATACTTAATGAATACTCAGTCCAGGGATTTATTTTCTACCACGAGGAACATTGTTCCTCTGCTTAAAGATGGTGTTGTGCCCATGTCACACCACCTATTGAAGTGACTGACCACTCCTATAGACATCTGTGCCAAGAAACATCAATTACATTTCAGACTGCTCTTTTGAGCTTTCCATCTTTTATTTTTTTCTTCTACTAGGTTTGAATGAGAGAGGAAGAAGCACATTTCCAATCATTAGGGGAACCTGAGAACATTATCTCCAACCCATTTTGCCAAATGGATGTCCTGAGAAAGGTGTTCCAAGAGAGGTGATGTCAGGTTAGTGTCTGATTGGAGGGTGCCCAAGGCACATGGGAGAATGTGGAAGAACTAGAAAGACTTTGGTGTTGCTCATGTTAAATTACTTAGGTATCTCTGTAGAAACTTGGTGGATCATTCCTTCTCTTCACAATCCGTTTCTTAAATTTATGATAAATGTGAAAGGTCATCAAAACAAAAGCAGGGCAAAATGGGAAAATAAGTTCCCACTTTAACTTTTTCTGGATTATTTAAAGGCCTACTGGGACAAATGTGATGAAAATTAAAAAAAATAAAAAAAATCACAGATCATCAGTATTTAAAAGCAAATACTTTCTGAAAATTATAGCTTGTATGTTAACATGATTTGTTGAAATCTGTTTTTGTAATTTAACCATCTTGGATTGTTAGAATTGAGCTCAGTTGAAGCACCATGGCAATTTAGTTAGATGATAAGCTACTGTGTTTCTCTGAAGTAAAGAAAAATGTAGATGCTCCTAGCTATACAGGATGAATTTTTATCAGTGAGATTTCTTTGGCAAACTAAATAACACCTGTAAAACAAATTTTCTTATTTTATACTTATTTTTCTTATTTATTTATTTATTTATTATACTTTAAGTTCTAGGATACATGTACATGCAGGTTTGTTACATATGTATACATGTGCCATGTTGGTGTGCTGTACCCATTAACTCATCATTTACATTAGGTGTATCTCCTAGTGCTATCCCTCCCCCGCGCCCCCACCCCACGACAGGCCCCAGTGTGTGACGTTCCCCTTCCTGTGTCCAGTTGTTCTCTTTGTTGAATTCCCACCTATGAGTGAGAACATGTGGTGTTTGGTTTTCTGTTCTTGTGATAGTTTGCTGAGAATGATAGTTTCTAGCTTCATCAGTATCCCTACAGAGGACATGAACTCATCCTTTTTTATGGCTGCATAGTGTATGGTGTACATGTGCCACATTTTCTTAATCCAGCCTGTCATTGATGGACATTTGGTTCCAAGTCTTTGCTATTGTGGCACATATTCCATATGCAGCCATATGCAGAAAGCTGAAACTGGATCCATTCCTTACTCCTTATCCAAAAATTAACTAAAGATGGATTAAAGACTTAAATGCAAGACCTAAAACCATAAAAACCCTAGAAGTAAACCTAGGCAATATCATTCAGGACATAGGCATGGACCAAGACTTCATGACTAAAACGCCAAAAGCAATGGCAACAAAAGTCAAAATTGACAAATGGGATCTAATTAAACTAAAGAGCTTCTGCACAGCAAAAGAAACTATAATTAGAGTGAACAGGCAGCCTACAGAATGGGAGAAAATTTTTGCCATCTATCCATCTGACAAAGGGCTAATATCCAGAATCTACAAAGAACTTCAACAAATTTACAAGAAATAAACAATGCCATCAAAAAGTGGGCAAAGGATATGAACAGACACTTTTCAAAAGAAGACGTTTATGCAGCCAACATATATATGAAAAAAAGCTCATCATCACTGGTCATTAGAGAAATGCAAATCAAAACCACAATGAGATACCATCTCATGCCAGAAATGGTGATCATTAAAAACTCAGGAAACAATAGATGCTGGAGAGGATGTGGAGAAATAGGAACACTTTTACACTGTTGGTGGGAGTGTAAATGAGTTCAAGCATTGTGGAAGGCAGTGTGGCAATTCCTCTAGGATCTAGAACCAGAAATATCATTTGACCAAGCCATCCCATTACTGGGTATATACCCAAAGGATTGTAAATCAATCTACTATAAAGACAGATACACACGTATGTTTATTGCAGCACTGTTCACAATAGCAAAGACTTGGAACCAACCCAAATGCTCATCAGTGATAGACTGGATAAAAAAAATGTGGCACATATACCCTATGGAATACTATGCAGCCATAAAAAAGGATGAATTCATGTCCTTTGCAGGGACATGGATGACACTGGAAACCATCATTCTCAGCAAACTATCACAAGAACAGAAAACCAAATACCACATGCTCTCACTCATAAATGGGAGTTGAACAATGAGAACACATGGGCACAAGGAGGGGAACATAACACACCGGGGCCTGTCATGGAGTAGGGGGAGCACGGAGGGATAGCATTAGGAGAAATGCCTAATGTAGATGACGGGTTGATAGGTGCAGCAAACCACCATGGCATGTGTTTACCTATGTAACAAACATGCACATTCCACACAGGTACCCCAGCACTTAAAGTATAATTTTAAAAAAATTAGTAGCTAACTTTCAAGATTGTTGTGTGTTAATTAACCTCACCATTTGACATTTCAGCTTTGGAGAGAAAGGGCAAGAAGTTTTCTAGACATTACACCATGGAGGTTTAACTATATTGTTATTATTTTATATTTCAACCTTTAAATAATAAAATCAATTAATTTTTACTTGGTAAGATGGAATTTGACCAGACAATATTTGTAGTGCCTCTCTTTAACATCATTTAAATACATACATACTCTACTCAAGATACCTGCTATCTAAGGCTCTTCAACTTGAAGTCTTTTTAAAATTGTAAAATGGTCGTTATAATTATTTTTAAACTTGGTTTAATAGGTGGCTGAGATACTTAACAATTTGTGAATATATTCTCATGTGAATAATGAATTCTATAAAGCGATTAGAGGCCAGGTGCAGTGGCCTATAATCCCAGCACTTAGGGAGGCTGGAGCAGAAGGATTGTTTGAGAACAGGAATTTGAGACTGGCCTGGACAACATGATGAGACTCCCCCACATCTACCAAAAAAAAAAAAAAAAAAAAAAAATTAGGCAGGCATGGTGATGCATATCTGTACTCTGAGTTACTTGGGAGGTTAAGACAGGAGGATCGCTTGAACCCAAGAGTTTGAGGTTACAGTTAGCTGTGATTGCATCATTACATTCCAGCCTGGATGACAGACCAAGACCCTATCTCAGCAACTATAACAACAAAAATAACGCCATTAGAAAAACCAGTCCATTCTCTAAAATAGGTTCACAATTCTGCTTGCATAAAATTTCATGCGAACAATTCATTTGTAAATTATACAAAGGAAAACATTAGCTTCACTTCAGTGGAATCACCATGTTTGGATTGGAACTCAAATTATCAAGGTTTTGTTTTCTGATGTAATGGAAAGTACTGGGTTTAGATTTTAGGAAACTCCTAAATTATTTGAACCAGAACATACATTCATTATGAGAAACCTTACATTTTAAATCAAATCCATACCTGTAATATACATTCTTGAGTTTCATTAAGGGAACAAAACAATTGAAAATGTGCACAATGGCTTTAATTGGCCAACATTTTAAAGAGGCATGTTAACAAAGAGCCAGGGTATCACATGCGGTCACCATTCTTTGGGATGGGTTGTGGATTATTCAGGGAACATTGTGAAAATCCAACCAGAATCCTCCTTCCCCCATCCCCAGTCTCTTTTTAGACAGCGTTCTCTCTGTCTCCTCTGTATACTTTCTGGATCAGCTTAGGGATTGCAAAGTAATTTGACTATCAGACTAAGCCAAACGTAATTGGGAAAGAGAAGCTGCCAAGAAGCAATCAGATCCACTGCATTCCAAAAACCAAGTCTATTCCAAATGCTTGATCGACCATCCCCAGCACAGCCCACATGGCTGTGAGCTATATGTGACTAGAGTTCTAATTGGATGCTCCCCACCACCTCAGTCCACAGACTTGAATTCACAAACCCTCCCAATAAGGAGAAAAGGAAGTTGAGCTGAGTAATACCTGTTCTCAGATATGCTTTGATGCTCCCCACCACCTCAGTCCACAGACTTGAATTCACAAACCCTCCCAATAAGGAGAAAAGGAAGTTGAGCTGAGTAATACCTGTTCTCAGATATGCTTTACACAGCAAACCACACAAAACTTACCAAGTAAAGAAACTGTCAGCTTTGGTTCTTAAGTCCTTTGGAGAGGGAGCCTTCTGATGCCCGTCATATCCCAGGATTGATCAGTCCCCAGTTTCCAGTCTGATGTGGTACTTTTTCTTGGAAGCCTTTTTGCTCCTGGCAGTTTCACTGTGGCCCTGCCCCTGGACACAGCTGAGGTTTGCAAATAAGGAAGGATGTCTCAATCTGAAGGTGTAGCAACTACTGAAGGGAGCTTGAAGGTATTTTTGTCTTTGTTTTTTTGTGCTGTTTTGTTTTATTTAAAAAAGAAAAGAGCCTTTATGGCCTAAGGAGTTACCAAGAGAAAATACTTTGACTACTGCTGGTTCCCAAAACCACAAAACCCCAGAACTCAATGCAAAGCATTGCCTCAGTTTAGAATCTTTCTTGATAGAAGGAAAAGCAGTTCTCACCTGTCTTATCTTCTATTTCTGGACCAGCAGTGGCAACGGCAGCAAGTGAACAAGCAGTTCACTTCTTTCCCACCTGTTCAGTGTGACAGCTCATTTATTGCACAACTCACTTAGGGCAGAGGCATTGAGATGTGCATTTAACAGGGAGGAGCTACCAGCACTCACCCTAGCAGAGGTGAAGTGGTATCTACTTGTCAACAGAGTATTCCAATATGAGCCTCTTTAAAGGGAGCTTGAGTTGTTATAAGGGACTGGTAGAAAGACGGGGATTGGCCCCCTAAGCTTGATGCCCTCCTTTCTCTGCAGTTTTGGCTGGAATACACAGTAATTGCCAGAGAGCTTGGGGCTCTTTTGAAGGTACTTCGTTGCCCAGTGATTTGATTCACAACACACAGCCCTTAGGGCAACAAAAGGGAAAGGCCAGAATAGGCAGCATGCCAGGATTCAGAGCCTGACTGCCAGGCATACTCTTGGAGAGTGCCCAGTGCAGGGGGAGCAATTGTTGGACTGGTCTCAGGTGCTAGGTCCTAACAGAGTCTAGATTACATTAAAAGAAAGTCTGCAGGTGGAAATTAAGGTCCAGGTGAGAGATGCATGAGTCCTCTGCCCTCCTCCCACCTAACACCTGCTTCCTAGGCAGATGTAGAAGAAGCCTGCAACTTGTTGCTTCTTGCCCGAAGGATTTACAGGGCTGTGAGTGAGACTCAATGAAAAAAGAATAAGAGGTAACCACAGAGAAAGAAAATGCAGCCCAACTCTCTGGTGGCCTCCTTTATGGGAAATCTCCCCTTCCAGAATGGCAGAATCCCCTCCCTAAATGATGCTTTGTCAGATCCTTTAACAATAAAATTTAAACTGTTTCCCTGAATCTGAAGAAAGGAACCTCTTTTCCACTTTCCTCCTTTCTTCCCCCCAGTCTCCAGGTCAAATTATTGACACACACTATCCAGTGAAAACAACAGCAGGTTTTGTTTTCCATGTATGAGAGGAGGGTGTGTATATGTCGGGTGCCATCATAAATGTGACCAGCATCTTAAACCCACAGTAACTGAAGTTATAGGTTTGCCAAAAGCAGATAATTATATTTTAATAATTCATGACATCACAGAAATACACACAATTAATTTTTCCTTTACACTTTGTACTTTAGTAACAATTACTGGAATAAATTAGGTAAATTCTGTTTCAGCTTTAAGAAAGTTGCTGACAAGAATGTGCCGAATATATGTGTTTTCTAATGGAATGATTAAATAAAACAAACAACAAATAAACCAACAAGTAAATCTGTTAATAAAGTTTACAGACTTGCACATAAAGAATCGATTCTCACAAATAGGCAAATAATCAAAACGCTGCTTTCCACTGTAAGAAGCTTCTTAAGTGAACATGGGAGTGCAGCCATCTCTTGGACATGCTTATTTTATATCCTCTGGATATGTATCCAGAGGTGGGATTGCAGAATCATATGATAGTTCTATTTTTAATTTTCTGAGGAACCACCATACTGTTTTCCATAATGGTTGTACCAGTTTACATTTCCAGCAACAGTGTATGTATTAATCTATTCTCACACTGCTATAAAGACATACCTGAGACTGGGTAATTTATCAAGTTTACTGACTTATCGTTCTGCATGTCTAGGGAGGCCTCAGGAAACTTACAATCATGGCAGAAGGCAAGAGAGAAGCAAAGGCATATCTTACATGGTGGCAGGCAAGAGAGAACAAATGAATGAAGGGAGAAGAGCCCCTTGTAAAACCATCACATCTTGTGAGAACTCACTCACTATGACAAGAACAGTATGGAGGAAACCTCTCCCATGATCCATCACCCCCCACCAGATCCTTCCCTGGACACATGGGGATTATGGGGATTACAATCCAAGATGAGATTTGAGTGGGGACACAGAGTCAAACCATATTAGTGTACAAGGATTCCTTTTTCTCTACATTCTCTTCAATACTCATCTGTTGTCTTTTTGATGAAAGACATTCCAACAGTGTAAGATAGTTTCTCATTGTAGTTTGAGTTTTAATTTACATTTCCATGATGAGTAGTGATTTGAGCATTGTTTTCATATATCTGTTGGACATTTGCATGTCTTCTTTTGAGAAATGTCTATTCAGATCCTTTGTTTATTTTTTATCAGATTTTATTTTCTATTGAGTTGTTTGCTGTTGAGTGTTTCTTATATATTTTGGATACTCCTTGTCAGATGGATAGTTTACAAATATTTTTTCCCATTCCATAGATTATCTTTTCACCCTGTTGACTGTTGCTTTGTTTGTGCAAAAGCTTTTTTTTTTTTAATGCCACCTCATTTATTTGTGCTTTTTTTGCCTGTGTTTGGGGTCATATACAAAAAACCATTGCCTAGACCAATGTCATTATAGCATTGTTCACAATAATCAATAAAGGAAATTAACCTGGGCTCATCAATAGATGAATGGATAAAGAAAATATGTTGTGTGTGTGCGACTGTGTATGTGTGTGTGTGCATGTAATGGAATTCTATTCAGTCTTGGAAAAGAATTATAATTTGTGACAACACGGATGAGCTTGCAGGACATGTACTAAGTGAATTAAGCCAGGCACAGAAATATGAGCACTGCATGATTTCACTCACACGTGGCAACTAAAAAAGTCAAACTCATAGAAGCATGGAGTAGTATGGTGGTTGTCACGGGGTGAGAGTGGGGACAGGGGAGTGGCGAGATGATGGCCAAGCGTACAAAAATTTAGTCAGATAGGATTAATAAGTTCAGGCGATCTACTGTACTACAGTTAATAATAATATCTTATATACTTGAAAATGGCTAAGAGACTAAATAGTAAATGTCCTTACAACATAAAATAATAAGTATATGAGGTGATGGGCATGTTAATTAGTTTGATTTCATGATTTCATAGTATATAATACATTAAAACATCAAGTTGTACACCATAAATATATATAATTTTTACCTGCCTACTATACCTTAATTAATTTTTTTAACCTTAAGTTCAGGGTTACAGATGCAGCTTTGTTATATAAGTAAACTCATGTCATGGGGGTTTGTTCTACAGATTATTTTGTTATTCAGGTATTAGACCTAATACCCATTAGTTATTTTTCCTGATCACCTCTCTCCTCCCATTCTCTACCTTGCAATAGGATGCAGTGCCTGTTATTCTTTTCTATGTGTCCATGTGTTCTCATCTTTTAACCCTCATTTATAAGTGAGAACATGCAATATTTGGTTTTCTATTCCTGTATTAGTTTGCTAAGGATAATGGCCTCCAGCTCCATCCATGTCACTGCAAAGGATATGATCTCATCCTTTTTTATGGCTGCATAGTATCCCGTGATGTATATGTATCACATTTTCTTTATCCAGTCTACCATTGATGGGCACTTTGGTTGATTCCATGTCTTTGCTATTGTGAATAGTGCTGCAATGAACATATGCTTGCATTTGTCTTTATGATAGAATTATTCCTTTGGGTATATACTCAGTAGTGATATTGCTGGGTTGAATGGCAGTTCTGCTTTTAGGTCTTTAAGGAATCACCAAACTGTTTTGCACTATGGTTGAACTAATTTACACTCCCATCAACAGTATATAAGCATTTTCTCTGTAACCTCACCAGCGTCTTTTTTTTTTTTTTTTTAAACTTTTTAACTGTAGCCATTCCGACTGGATCTGAAATGGTATCTCTTTGTGATTTTGATTTGCATTTCTCTAATGATCAGTGATGTTGAGCTTTTTTTCATATGCTTGTTGGCTGCATGTATGTCTTCTTATGAAAAGTGTTCATGTCCTTTGCCTACTTTTTACTGTAGTTTGTTTTTTCTTATAAATTTGCTTAAGTTTCTGTATGAAAGCTGGATATTAGACCTTTGCCAGATGCATAATTTGCAAATATTTTCTTTCATTTCTATAGGTTGTCTGTTTACTCTGTCAATAGTTTCTATTGCTGTCCAGAAGCTTTTTAGTTTAATTAGATCTCATTTGTAATTTTCGCTTTTGCTGTAACTGCTTTTGGCATCTTCATCATGAAATCTTTGCCCATTCCTGTGTTCAGAATGGTATTGCCTAGGTTGTCTTCCAGAGTTTTTATAGTCTTGAGTTTTACATTTTTGTCTTTAATTGTGAGTTAATTTTTGTATATGGTGTAAAGAAGGCATCCATTTTCAATCTTCTGCTTATGACTAGCTAGTTGTCCCAGCACCATTTATTGAATAAGGAGTCCTTTTCCTATTGCTTATTTTTGTCAGCTTTGTTGAAGATCAGCTAGTTGTAGGTGTGCCACTTTATTCTGGGTTTTTATTCTTGTCCACCAGTCTATTTGTCTGTTTTTGTACTGGTACCATGCTGTTTTGGTTACTGCTGCCCCACAGTATAGTTTAAAGTTGGGGGTAGCATGATGCCTCCAGCTTTGGAGAAGAGGGAGTTCCTTCTCTTCAATTCTTCTTGCTTAGGATATTCGTGGCTATTAGGGCTCTTTTTTGGTTCATATGAATTTTAAAATATTTTTTGTACTTCTGTGAAGAATGTCATTAGTTGTTTGATAGGCACAGCATTGAATATATTAATTGCTTTGGACATTATGGCCATCTTAATGACATTTATTGTTTTTATTCATGAGCATGGAACTTTTTTTTTCATTTGTTTCATGTCTGATATCTTTGAGCAATGTTTTGTAGTTCTCCTTGCAGATATCTTTTAGCTGTATTCATAGGTATTTTTTTCTTTTTGTGGCAATTGTGAATAGAATCGAGTTTCTGATTTGACTCTCAGCTTAACTATTGTTGATGTATAGGAGTGCTAGTGATTTTGGTACACCAATTATTTTTATCCTGAGATTTTGCTGAAGTTGTTTATCAGCTTAAGGAGCTTTTGGGCTGAGACTATGAAGTTTTCTAGATATAGTATTATTTTGTCTGCAAAAAGGGGAGTTTGTCTGCAAAAAGGGTGGTGTCAGCCAAAGTGGCAGCAGCCATCCTGCAGTAGCAGCAGGATCCATTCTCATTTGCAGTGGCAGCAGCACAGTGGGTACATACTCCTTAGTTGTGCCCAGGCCTCCCTCCATGCAGGCATTCACCACAGTCGTGAAGGCAGCATGGCTTATGGTGGTGGTGGTGGTGGGTGGTGCTCCTGGCAACTGTGCCTGTGGTGGCACTGGTGATGGGGTTAGCATGTAGGTGGGGTGCTTGTAGGTGCAAGACTGTGTGTTTTCTGTGTGCCACCGGCAAGAGTAGTCACTCAGGGTTGAGGAGGGTCTGCTGTTCTCTGTGCATAGTTTCACTCCCTTGGTAGTGT